TTTATATTCATATTATATATATATAGAGAGAGATATATTATATATTATATTTATATTATATATATAGATATATTATATATTATATTTATATTATATATAGATATATATATGATATATAAAATATTATATGGATATATAATATTTTATATTTTATGTTTTAACATAGCCACCCTGGCTATGTTCCTAATTGTGAAAATTGCATTTACTTTGCCTCCATCTACGGGCACTTTTACCGATTAAAGTGCAATTACCTCAGTCACATAACAAGTTCACATTGTAGATTTATTTATACTCTGTTAGGTACTAGTTTATTCGGACTAGTGTTCTCATGTTGATTGCTATACTCACAACCTTTCGACAATTTTACAATTCCGTCTTCTTCAGATGTGTATCAGAGTTGGTAACTTAAAGTTCGATTGATTGATTTGTCTTTACGGCTTATCAAATTTTTCGTAGATTATTTAAAGCTAGAAAATATTTTTAGATTATATGTATTTTCCTGGAGATCAATAATGATTTACTGATTAAACTCCTACTAATTAACCCATAGCTGGAGGAAAATGAGATAGATTTATGCCGTTCCCAAGCTTGTTTGCGCGTTAGGGAATATAACAAACCCGACTGGAATTGAAACTCCGCCTATAAAGTTTGAATCAAACCCTTTATTTAGAATATATTATTCTTATTATGCTGTCCATACGAGATGATATCTCACTTCAGTTCATTTTATTACGCAAGTCGATGTTTTCACAATGGAAATGGTATTGAGAAAACAATGGTGTAATATTTCTCGGGATATGCTTAAATGTCTTCTTGACTCCTGTTCTTTGATTGTCTTTTCACCTCACTAAATTCTACCCATTTTCTTTCACTCCCAGTAACCCCTTGCGTCTTAGTGGGATTCTCACCTTGCTTGAGGTCGAAGGATTAAACAAAATGATGCATTGTATAGTTCCGTGTTGTATTGAGTTTAATTTTCAAGAAATTATTTGGTGTAGTGAGATTATGTAGTGAAAGGCCATAAGGAAAATGTAATAGTGGCCCTTGCCCTGAAGATCGCACCGAGGTCAATCAGCCATGCGTGAAACACGCTTAGGCGATCATGTATCTTTCGATACATGACTGAAGAGGCAGATTTTTTCCACGGTAGGTTGCAATTTCTTTCTGCTGTAGACCAGTTGCCATCCAAGGCTATAGAACCCAAGCTGTGCTGCTATTTACTCATACTTTGGCCGAGAAGACGAGGGTTCATACGTTTTCCAGGGTTATTCGCACGCAAGTGTATATAATGGATTCAAGTGAAATTCGAGGAGGCACGGTGGTGTAATGAATAGCGGATTGAGGAATCAGAGAGCCGAGTTCGAATTCCAGTTGAATCCATTGCATTCACTTATGTGCTAATACCGATGAGAAACTCAGCTCTCCAATTCCTCAATCCAAGCCATTATCCTCCTCACTCCACCTTGCATTTTAGAAGTAGTTGTAACAAATTTTATGTTGAGCTTAGATAAATTTATTTTCCGTTGTAGTTGTAATAGAGATGATCGGTAGAACTTTCCATATTTAAATACAACAAGTTGTCAGTCAGTTATGTGCCATACATGATATACACTTAGACTATCATGTATCTTTTGATATATGACTGACGAGGCAGATTTTTTCCCACAGCAGGTTGCCATTTCTTTCTGCAGTAGACCATTTACCATCCAAGCCTATAGAACCGGGTCTGTCCTGCAATTTACCCATAGCTGGGAGGAGAGAAGAAGAGGATTCATACCTTTCCCAAGGTTATTAGCCCGTAAGTGAACGTAATGGGATTCGAGTAGGCACGGACGAGTAATAAATAGCGGATTGAGTAATCGGAGAGCCAAGTTCGAATTCCAGTCGAATCCATGACATTCACTTACGTGCTAATACCCTCTTATTCTCTTATATGGGTAAATAGCAGGGCAGACCGGGTTCTATAGCCTTGAATGACAACTGGTTTACAACAGAAAAATCTTCCTGGTAATGTAATGGATTCGAACGCGGCTCTCCGATCGGTCAATCCGAGCCGCTATCCATTAGACACTCATCATGAAATGTTTATTTCTGTGTCCGAATGTTTTTTTTTTTTTATCTATGTACGCTCGAAATCCGATATTAAGTATGATAACCTACGGCAACACAAACCATGATGCTAGTATAACATGATGGCGGTCTATCGTGAACGTATACACAAAGGAAAAACGTCACCTACCAGTAATATTTTGAAAGCAGAAGCCTCTTTTGTTGGAGAAGACTACAGATTCCCCAGGTGAGTCTCTCGCGCCATCACAATATTATGGCGTCAGTAGTCCCTTCGACCTACACCAATGCCGTTTGAGTATTATAACAGCATCTCACATCCTGATGTCATGGATTAAGATTTGCTTATCGTGGATTAATGCATTCTGAAAGAAGTCGCTACCCAAATCTACGTTAGAAATTTACCATGTCTTATCACTGAATACTACAAAAACCCAAAGTGAGCCTCTCGCGATATTGTGGCATCAGCAGATCCTTTCACCTACATTAAAGGCAATCGAGAGTTGCAGTTAGGGTGTTGTAATTCTATGTGTTGGGCCTATGCATTCTGAGTGAATTCACTGAAAGATATCGCCTCACAATTTTGTTTTCCTTCCATATATATATATATATATATATATATATATATATATAATTATTTATTTAAAAATATGATTCCAACACGCTACATAAGAGTTCTCATGTTTCAAAACAAGAGCCGAAAACTTCAATATAATTATTTGAATTAAATTGAATTAAAGTACTAAGCTCTGTTCCATCTTCAAGCGAAATTTTTTTGAATTCCTATTTAATAAAAAAAATACTAAAGACTTTGGATCATTTACCTGACAAGTTTTTTTCCTATTTTCTATATATTTTTCACACACACACACACACACACACACACACACACACACACACACACACACACACACACATATATATATATATATATATATATATATATATATATATATATATTACACTGAAGGCTTATATCTCTCTCATCATAGTGTCATAGTGACGTTCTGTCGACACTACGAGTGTGTAACATCAGTAGTCCCCATTACATACAGAACACAAAACCCCTCTGCATACATTCACATTTATAAACCTACTATTCTTCCATGCATTAAATACCATTGCCATATCTGGTTTGATGCCATCCCCCCATTCTATATCCCGAGATTCATGACAAAATCAAAGAATGGTAATATAATCGATCCTGACCTGGCACCTAGAGTTCAGTCACTTTCTCACCGGTTTGACATGGCTTCCCTTTGTCTTTTCTACAAATATTTTCATGGCACATGTTCTGATGGGCTTTCCTCCATTGCATGAATTTTAGCCTGCTATTAGGTCTCACCAATTTATTGTTGAAATGGCTAGATAAAACCGTCAGTTTTACTCTAACCGTTTCTTTTCTTGCCCTTCCCACCTGTGGAGTTCCCTTCCGGTTTCTTGCTACGCTGTCAACTGCAATCTTCAAAAAATTTAAATGCGACGTCGATCGCTGTCTTCTCTCTCCCTGAATCTTGTTTCTTTTTTATCCTTACGAAAATCTCCACATGCTCTTTCACTCCCTGTAAATACCTGCGCCCTAGAGGCATTATCGCCTTGCTTAGGGTGAAAAGATTTTTTTTTAAATTACATGACAGTCTTATAAAATAATATGGCATTAAAGGAAAAGAAAAATTAACCTCAAGTGTGTCAACTGGTTAAAATCGAGAGTGTTCTAATTTTGTTTTCCTTCACTATATATATATATATATATATATATATATATATATAAGTGATAGAAATTAGGAGGATTTGCGATAATCATAATTAAGTAATTCATCGAGTCTAGACGTTTTTGGGACTCATCAGCAGTGCGCAATCCACTACTGAGAATTGAAACCCGACCAGTAATGTTATCAGGGAAACGACATACCAACTGTTCTAACGGGCCTCGGCGACGAAGAGGTAGCGAATTAGACTCGATATAGCGCCGCTTGATTACATATTCCGTGGTGGAACTCATCCGAGTTTCTCTTTTACCCATAGGACTGTGCCCCCACGAGCCACGACTACTCTCACCAAGCCGCTCCATCCAGAGCATTAGAAGCCGGTTCAAGTAAGGATATACAAGTGATAGAAATTAGGAAGATTTGAGATAATTATAATTAATTCATCGAATCTAGAAGAAACTTCAACAGAGAAACTCGGATGAGTTTCACCATGGAATATGAGCGGCACTATATCGAGTTTGATCCGCTACCTCTTCGTCACCTCGGCCGTTGGAATTCATATATATATATATATATATATATATATATATATATATATATATATATATATATATATATATATATATATATATTGCACAAAAGGTAAAGAGGTATTTGAAAGTGTTAAGGCCACTTGCTCCCGGCGGCAAAAATTTCTAAAGCAATCCATTACTATATTTTGAGCCAGAAGTGATATTACAGTCATATTTTATATTCATATATGTTTTCTGTACTTATTTCAGTTGCTATTTAATTTTATTTCACCTTCAATTGGCTCTCCGTCTTTCCCTCCGGTTTTTCCTGTTTCTTCATTCTATGGAAATTCTTCGTTATTTCATTGGAATCTAAAGCAAAATCGTGATTAAGAACGAATATTTTTTCACCATTTTTTTTTTGTCATTGTTCGTGCAACGGAAAGGAATTATGAACAAACAATATTGTCATTCGACTCGAAATGAATATATTTAGAAATTGCAGCCTTGGGATAAAATTCAGGGATTTTTCTTTCTTTTTCTTTTTTTTTTTTAGATAATTCGTTTTTCTTTTATCAGTTTTTATTTCACGCGTTTTTGTCTTTTCTTTCACTTCTTCAGCTTACAGAAAATAGCGATTGTTTTTTTTTTTAATATATATTTTTGCTTTTTTCAAACATTTTCCTACCTTTTATCCATGTTTCCTTTCAAGATTTATTTCTGTTTTTCTTTTTGTCTCCTTCCTTCTTTTATCAAAATCTTTCTTTCTTCCTTCCTTCCTTCCTTCCTTTCTTTCTTTCTTTCTTTTCTTTCTTTCTTTCTTTCTTTCTTTCTTCCTTTCTTTCTTTCTTTCTTCCTTCCTTCCTTCCTTCCTTTCTTTCTTTCTTTTTTTCTTTCTTTCTTCCTTCCTTTCTTTCTTCCTTCCTTCCTTCCTTCCTTCCTTTCTTTCTTTCTTTCTTCCTTCCTTCCTTCCTTCCTTCCTTCCTTTCTTTCTTTCTTTTTTCTTTCTTTCTTTCTTTCTTCCTTCCTTTCTTTCTTTCTTTCTTTCTTTCTTTCTTTCTTTCTTTCTTTTGCATAATACTATCTTTTTTCTTTATTCTAAATCATCGTACAATTCTCTTTGATTTTCTAATACATCCTTTCTCTTTTACAGCATTTTTTTTATTCACTTACTTTTTTTCGTCTAAATCTTTCTTTCATTCCTCCTCTTTCTTTTTATTTAAATATTTTTCATTGATCTACTTTTATTTATTTAATTCTTTCTCATTGCAACTTCATTCTTTCGTTCGTTCGTTCCTACTTTCTTTCTTTTTAGATTTTGGATGTTATTCAATTTCTTCTTCCATCTAAATTCTTTCTTTCTTTCTTTCTTTCTTTCTTGCTTTAATCTAAATATTTTTCATTGATTTACTGTCATTTATTTAATTCTTTTTTATTTCAACTTCTTTCTTTTTTCTTTCGTTCCTTCTTTATTTCTTTCTTTTACTTTCATCATTATTTTCCTTTAACTTATTCGTTTATTTAAAGCGTCTTTTGTTAAAATAATCTTTCATTCTTTCCTTCATTTATCTAATCCTTTCTTTTTTTTAAAATTTTTTCTTTATTGTGGGCTTTCTATTCTTTCTTTCCTTTTTTTTACATTATATTATCATCGTTCATTTCTCTTTGGTTGTTTTATTTAACGCTTTCTTTCCTTCTTTCTTTTTTTTTTCTTTTTTACTTCTTTCTTTTCAATATTCTTTCTTTTTAACGTTAACATCGTCCATTTTTCTTTCATTGCTTTAGGTAACACTTTTTCTTTCTTTCTATTTTCTTTCTTTTTATGATCGTCTTTAGTGCTTACTTTCATCTAATTTTCTTTTCTTTTTCTTCTTTCTTTTCGATATAAGACAACTTTTATCGATCATAGATTCTTAATTGACAGGAAAAAACCCAAAAAACCAAAAAAAAAAAAAAAACAAGATTCCCGCTTTATCATCAACGTAAGAATGATTGCAGTTTGGTTCGATATATGGACGTCGGAGGTATTGTAAAATATAACAAGATAAGCAAAAAAGATAAGCATATTATGCAACGTCAGTGAGTTGGCGTGGAGTGGATCATTGAGCTTATAAAACAGGGAATCGAGCAGGGATTACTAAAAGTGGCAGGCGCGCACATGCACACATCTATCTATCTATCTCATTCTGTTCCAATCTATCTATCTATCTCATTCTGTTCCAATCAATCAATCAATCTATCTATCTATCTATCTATCTATCTATCTCATTCTATCTATCTATCTATCTCATATCTATCTATCTATCTATCTATCTATCTATCTATCTATCTATCTATCTATCTATCTATTGTATCTATCTAATGAACTCTCCTCTCGATTTCAGCGTATGAGGATCCGAGGTCCTCTTTCAGTTTTTATGTTTATGTCGTATGTGACACTTCAGTTCCGCTAGTGGCCTGCATACAAGTCCACGTATTGTGCAACAGCGACGATCTCGGGACACAGCCACAGGAATATTTGCTGATGCTTTTCACCGTTGCCTTTCATCTCTTATCCAGTCAATACAATTTATTTCAAAATATAAACCACACTGGCACGAATAGCTCCAGTTATTTCTATCCAGGGCAACTCGCTAGAAGTTAGTATGAGGTACATTAACAGCTGAAGAGTTACTCTTTAGCTCGTCTTTACACCTGAGCCATTATCATCCAAAAGTCAAGCTCAGGTATTTTATTTTCCCTCATGTTTGCAACATGACCTCCCCCAAGGAAGTTTAAACTGCCCCAAGAAAGTCTCAATACACCAATGTTGCATTTTGCAAGAAGATCAACATTAGGCATCTATCTATCTATCTATCTATCTATCTATCTATCTATCTATCTATCTATCTATCTATTGGCTTGGTGATATCTGTCTTTAGTCATATCTATCTATCTATCTATCTATCTATCTATCTATCTATCTCAATCTGATCATATCTATCTATCTATCTATCTATCTATCTATCTATCTATCTAGCTGACGGATATTTAAAAGTGATGGGTACACAAATTAAAATAATTGAACGTGTAGAGTAAATGATATTAAAAAATGTGTGCATTTACTAGTTACAATTTATATATATATATATATATATATATATATATATATATATATATATATATATATATAATAAAAAGGCTTAAACACTAATATTCTGTGGTTATAATTTATTACATTGGAATCGTAATCACAACCCAATTCATCAGACCTACAAATTAAAAAAAGAAATCGGAAAAAAATAACTCCGGGAATAAAAATAAATTTAGTGAGAGTGTATGTCTGAGAGTGGGGACGAATGCGAGAAGTAAATAAAAGCTATAGAGAGGGTAACAGAAAATATCTATCTATCTATCTATCTCTCTCTCTCTCTCTCTCTCTCTCTCTCTATATATATATATATATATATATATATATATATATATATATATATATATATATATATATACATATATATATATATATATATATATATATATATATATATATATATATACATATATATATATATATATATATATATATATATATATATATATATGTGCACTATCGGGCAGTAAGCTATCTCTCGCGGAGGGTTCTTGATTGGGCCTTCGGCTTGTTCAATAGTTTGAGAGTCCCTAAGTTTCTGCATATTCTCATCATTGGAAGCTCTCCTGGCTATTGTTTGATCTAGGTTTTCATTTGCACAGGACTTTCTTTTCCTAGCTGAAGCCTTAGATCTTTTGATCGCAATCTGCTCCTCTGTTGGCAGACGTTTCTTTTTGCGAGGCATACTGCTGCCGTATGCGATGGACAACAATAAACTACAGAACTCATTTAAGTATTGCATGAATATTTAAGCTTACCTTTTAAATGTTTAATGATAATTCTCCTGTCGCCATTTAATTTAAAGACGATTTGATGTGTGTAGATACTTGCGTTCCCCACAAACAATTGCTTTTATTTCATGGGTGACTTTCGCTGGATTTCGCAATTAATTTCGATTATTCCAAGTTATAGAAATTGTTATCGTATGAAAAAATTCAGCGAAAAAAAAATCCGTAAAAAACCGCCGGAAACAATCGCTGTAAGGAAAATTGGGAATCCAAAATTTCTGAAACATAAGCTATTGAAAGTTAGAGAGTTGTGTCCCTTTAATTGAAAAAGTGTGACACAGTGACAAATTTTGTATGATCACCGAAGTTAAGCAATGGCGAGCCTGGTCAGTACTTAGGTGGGTGATCGCTTGGGAATACCAGGTGAAGTAAGCTTGGATGTGTTGGCGATGTAATGGATAATAGCTAGGAACGAATTTAAATTTCTCGTTTGGTTCGTTACATGCAAATACCCTTGAAAAAAATAAGAATCTACCTCTTCCCCCCAGCTATGGGTTAATTAGTAAGACTTGTATCACTAAACAAATATTATCTAAAAAAGTATTAAAATCTAAAAAAAAAAATATGGCTTTGAATAAGCTGGAAAGAATTGATATGCCATAGTAAATGAATGAATGAATCCAAAAAATTTTAAATCCAGAGGACGTTAATGGCCTTACTGTGAGAATGACCAGGCCTTTGGTCGCGGCATGTGATAAAGATATTTATTGACTATATCTCTTGCTTTCCCTTCATGCAGATTAGTCTCTTTCTCCGATCAGAGGACGCCAACAATATGGCGTGGGGGCGGGTAACTGAAAACCCCTTTTTCCTTTGTCTTATTAGGGTGGGATTAGGAGTATAATTTCGAGAATATATGAGAATATAAGATGAAGAGAATATGTGAGAATATTAGATGAAGAGAATATAAGAATGAAGAGAATATAAGATGAAGAGAATATCTGAGAATATTAGATGAAGAGAATATAAGATGGAAAGAGAATATTAGATGTAAAGAATATAGAAATGAAGGCAATATAAGATGAATAGAATGTAAGAGGAATAGAATATGTGAGAATATTAAATGAAGAGAATATAAGAATGAAGAGAATATAAGATGAAGCGAATATATGAAATATAAGAATGAAAAGAATATAAGAATGAAGAAAATTTAAGATGAAAAGAATATAAGGATTAACAGAATATTTGAGAATATAAGATGAAGAGAATATATGAATGAAGAGAGTATAAGATGAAGAGAATATAAGATGAAGAGAATGTATGAGAATATGAGAATAAAGCGAATATAAGAATGAAGAGAATATAAAATGAAGAAAATATGTGAGAATATTAGACGAAGAGAATATAAGAATGAAGAGAATATTAGATGTATAGAATATAGGAATGAAGGCAATATAAGATTAATAGAATGTAAGATGAAGAGAATATGTGTGAATATTAGATGAAGAGAATATAAGAATGAAGGTAGGTAGGTTTGCCTGGCTCTTTAGGTTCGTAGTTATATATATATATATATATATATATATATATATATATATATATATGTGTGTGTGTGTGTGTGTGTGTGTGTGTGTGTGTGTGTGTGTGTGTGGGCCCTTCAACGAAATGTAATATTTAGAAAAACTTGTCTCGCTATATCAATTATGATTGAGTAGTGAGTTCGATCATCACTGGGTTCCCCCATGCGTTTGGCCTTCTGCTACATCTAAGTTACGCTTAGTAAATCTCTCTCTCTCACTATATATATATATATATATATATATATATATATATATATAGACTGATTGAATACTAACTTCCTATTTTATGTAAGAGCGGCCAGCCAGGAGTCCTGACTTAACACCATGTGACTTTTTTAACACCATGTGACTTTTTTAACACCATGTGACTTTTTTCTCTATACTTTGTTAAAAGAGCAAGTCTACTTACCAGACCAAGACATTGGAAGAACTTGAAGGACGAATACAATAAGTTATGTCTTCCATACCACAAGAGTTCCTGGTAAAATCAACTGACACGATTCCTGGGCGAATCGAGTATTTGATGGTGAAATCTGGTGCCCATATCGAATTTTAAATAAAACGCTTTCCTCTCACATCTATTTCTTGTAAAAATCATAATAAATAAATTATAAGTATTTTAAAATGTTTAGTTACTTTTCAGTCTACCTGTATGTTAAAAGATTAAGGTACTATATCAGCTTAAAGGTTTTTTTTCTACATATTTATCTTCCTCCTGTGGATATCGAAGGCTACAAAGTCTAAGTGTCCTTAGAGATCTCCAAGCACTTGACTTCGGGCAAAACTTTACAACGAAGATTAAAAATAGAAGACATATTAGATAGAATAACTAACAACCACAAGGAAAAGGATACAGATAATAATTACTGTTATATTAAGGACAGTAATTAAAAGTGGTAATGGTAATATTAGCCGTTTCCTTATTAGGAAACAATCAGCATTTATTGATCGAGGAGCCTGTATATCTGTCGGTTGGAATTTATAAATCTTTATAATCTTTCTCTTAAAAAGACTTTTCGTAAAAAGAGGGGAAAAAACAGAAAGAAAAACCACAAACAACGAAAAAGACAACACACACACACACACACACACACACACACACACACACACACACACACACACACACACACACACACAACGAAAGGAGACACACGCGCCACAGAAAAAGAGCTCCGGTCAGCCAAGGCCGAGAGAAAGAACAAAAAGGAGCAAAGAAAATCCAAGAACCTTATCTTAAGTTAGAAGGAAACAGGGACACACAATCAAAACAAAGAAATGCGATATGACCTTAGGTCACAGCTGGGATGCAACCCTAAAACTTACAAATGAAGTATCCGTGCAATGATGCGCCATCTTATGGAGAATTCTAACAACGACAAATACTACCAGAAATCAAAGGGGTAATGGTAATATAAGCCCTTTCCTTATAAGGACACATTCAGCCTGTATATCTGCCGGTTATAAAACTTTATAATCTTTTTCTTAAAAAGACTTTTTGTGAAAAGAGGGAAAAAAAACCAGAAAGACACACACAAACAACAAAAAAGACACACACACACACACACACACACACACACACACACACAACGAAAGGAGACACACACGTAACAAAAAAGAGCTCTGGTCTATCAAGGCCGAGAGAAAGAACAAAAAGGAGCAAAGAAAATCCAAGAAGCTTATCTTAAGTAAGAAGAAAACAGGGACACACAATCAAAACAAAGAAATGCGATATGACCTTAGGTCACAGCTGGAATACAACCCAAAAACATACAAAAGAAGATTGATGCGCCATCTCTTGGAGAATTCTAACAACGACAAATACTAACACAAATCACCCTGTGAGGATTAGATATACTGCAGTAAAATGAACTCTCTAAATACGAGACTGATCAAAAGTTGCTGTAACCCAGGGAAGGTTACTGAATAGAATACTCACACGATGGTTGGTAATGAATGATAATACTTAGGACAAGAGCAACACATATAAGATTCGCCAGCGGCGCGTAGAAGAAGTAGTCAACTGCTAGAAGTGAGTCAAGTGAATTCCACAATGAATCTTCAACTGTAGACCAACATACAGTATTTACTACTATATTTATGTGAATGGGGACAAACCGATTATTGTCCGTAGGTTTTGCTACATCAAAAGTATAAAGCTTATTCATGTTGGTTTAAAGCCCATTTTTCTCTAACAACTTTGGCGCTAATATTTTTTTCTTTTGTCACTGAAGAATATAGATTGTGGTTAAAACCATATTGGATTGCCCAGAATTTTAATAATTTTACTAAAAAACAAATATTATTTACAGGAGTATACGAAAAATAAATTGCAAACAAAACGCACATTTAACAAAGGGAGCGTTATATATTTAAAGTGAATTCAAAGAAGTATCTGCAATGCATTCGATCCTGATTTGTCATCTCAATTTCAGTCACTTCCTCATTGACGTGACGTGGCTTCCCTCAGCCTTTTCTACAAATTTTTTACATGGCAACGGCTCTGGCGAACTTTTTTTCCTGGTTCCCCGACTACATGAATTTAAGCATCTACTAGATTGGCAACTAGGTCCCACCCTTTTACTGTTGAAATATTCAAATGTAAACACCACTTCTACTCCAATAGATTCTTTTCTCGCACTTCCCGCCTGTGGAACTCCCTTCCGTTTCCTTGCTTCCCTGATAACTACAATCTTCAAAAATATAAATGCAACGTCAATCGCTATCTTCTATCGTCTTGAAGCCTGTTCAGTTTTTATCCTTTCCTGTCCCCACCCCTATACAGAATCCCAGTAATAGTGGCATTCCCGCCTTGTTTGTGGGAATGAAATGATTTTAAAAAAAATTCCCGCTTACCAGGAAAAGTTGTGAACCTATTAATTAAAGTCTTGTGTCAAGCTTGCGTTCCGGTCAAACGACCAACTGACTTAATTGCCCCACGCTCGACCGGTGATTTTTAATGTCGGTCAGTCTTGCCTGAATGATTCAAGCTTTAATTTATTATACATAAAATCAAGGGGGAAAGAAAATCCAGAATACTCAATACTTGGGACGTGGAACGAATTCAGATTGGAATCAAACTCCAACAACCAAAATGAGTTAAAACGATGTCGGATATTGGTAATCATTGGTACCACCCGACGGCCACATAATATTCTTCCTGGCACAATATCAGCATTCGAAGAAAACCATTCTCGATCGGCATTCATAACTAAAGTCATATAAGTGGTCGCGATTGACAAGAGCAAACTTCGAGAAATTACCTTTTCGACCATCGTACAAGCTGGAAGACATATGCAGTCGTGGAACGTTTTTAGTTAGAAAAATATTATCACTTATACATTCATCCACTTTTCCCTCACCGTCAACACTCGACCTCCTCCACACTTCATTCGCTGTCGTCTCTTTCTGGTTAGCTGCTGATCAATAGAAGATTACTAATCGAAACTTTAGAAAGTAGAAGAAACCTTAGGAAGGGGCGTTGAAAGGCTCTCGGCCCGACCATGAAGCCATTCAAAAAAAAAAAAAAAAAGAAAAGAAAATGATATTTGGACAGGTTGTGGAAAGTGGGCCGGGTTGACAATCATTCGGCAGACCATCGTACAAAAAGCTACGTATTTATGCAATCAAGTCAAAATATACATACATATCTATCTATCTATCTATCTATCTATCTATCTATCTATCTATCCCTGTATGTTTACATCTAAATCTGTACATTATCTATCTATCTATCTATCTATCTATCTATCTATCTATCTATCCCTGTATGTTTACATCTAAATCTATCTATCTATCTATCTATCTATCTATCTATCTATCTATCTATCTATCTATCTATCCCTGTATGTTTACATCTAAATCTGTACATTATCTATCTATCTATCTATCTATCTATCTATCTATCTATCTATCTATCTATCTATCCCTGTATGTTTACATCTAAGTCTGTACATATCTATCTATCTATCTATCTATCTATCTATCTATCTATGTATGTTTACATCTAAATCTATCTATCTATCTATCTATCTATCTATCTATCTATCTATCTATCTATCTATCATCTATCTATGTTTACATTTATATCTGTACATATCTATCTATCTATCTATCTAATAATAATAATAATGATAATAATAATAAAATTTCGATGAACAATAGGACTTCGCAGCATAAATATGAATAGCGAGACCTTCAGCTGGAAGCGAAGGTATTTTTTGTTTATTTCTTTCAGACTGAATCAAAATTTTATTTTGTTTCGTTTTTCATGAATTAAGCAGGAAAACAGGACAGTGTGGAATAATTCCATTCCCGAAGCTCAAGTAATATACACGTCAATGATATTGTCATGAGTTGTTGTGTCAAATGCTGAACCAGGCGTCTTCTCTTCTGGTTAAACAGCCTTTGCACATGCGTCAACCATTCGTCGGTTTTATTCAATTATCAGAATTGAGTGGATGGGGGGGGAATGAGAGAGAGAGAGAGTATATGTGTGTGTGTGTGTGTGTGTGTGTGTGAGAGAGAGAGAGAGAGAGAGTGAGAGAAATACATTGAATTTCTAAAAGGTAAAACGTATGTCTGTGTGATTAAATAACTCCTCCTATTTAAAGAATGAATGATCCAGACGATAACAAAAGGCGTGATATATATTCAGATGCTATGAACGCATCTATCTCAGTCAGTTCACATCTATCTATCTATCTATCTATCTATCTATCTATCTATCTATCTATCTATCAGATTAATATAAATTGGTATGAACTAATACATAAAATAGGCTGAGGTATAAATAAACGGATGACTATAAAAATAATCAGATTTAAATCGAGAGTTATGTATATATAAAAATTCATATTTGTTGCTGCTGTTCCGCGAAGTGACAGTTTTGATGAAGAAGCTGCTTGAGTGAAACTTCCTCCTTGCGAATGGAATACGAAAGCGTTTAGGTGGCATAGCCTTAGCTAGCTATGAAAGTCTGAACTTTTGAATTAAGAAACGTAGCTCACCTGAACATTTGCTATGGAAATAGGGTAAGAGTAGCGAGGCGCTACCGACTTTTTGTTTGTGAGAATGGGAGTGTAGGATTTAAAGTGATTCATCACCCACAAGGCCGCAGAAACGCTTCTGAATTCTAACAAGGCTGATCGGGCTTTTGCAAAGCTAGAGCAGAGATTTGATTTGATTTCTTTGTTTAACGGTATGTGGCACCTTGCATTATTAGAAATATTCATAGAAATATGATTTAATTTTTTTTTTTTTTACTCGGTTTATTAAACAGGTTGTTAGTTTTTTTTTTAGACGAAGAATAATTGAGTTGAAAATAATTCACTAAGTTGTACTTAGACGATCCTAAAAAAAAAAAGAAAAGAAAGAGGAAGAAAAAGAAAAAAAAAGGAAAGAGAAGTGGATGATGCATGACCCGGTCATAAGCGAAAACAGGTGTCAAAAAGATATCTTGGCCAACATGTTGGCCGAATTTTAAAAGACAATAGGGAATTGTTATTTGAAATGAAAAGTCATTTAGAGAGAGAAAAGGACCAGGCTTGATGACAGTGTGTTGGCGATTGATAAGAATATCGGTCAAAGCATCTGGCCTACTTTTGCGTAGAAAGACTCATTATCAATTTGGAGAATGGGAATTTTTTTTAGAACAATAGAAACGAAATTTTTTAATCGGAGAAAAAGTGTCTTTTGGGTTGAGGGGGTGACCGGTGGAACTGTATACAGATTCTGACCTGTTAAGAATTGGAAACCCACGATAATAAAGTGGAGACATTTTCAATGTAGATAATTAAGATTTTTGACTATCAGGTCTGACCGAAAAAAAAACAAAGAGGTGAAGAAGGCGGATGTCTCGGCTCACAGATAGCGCCAATATTCTTTCCTGAAGTCACATCTAATTAGCGGCAGGCTGTTTTGACAGAACCCAGGTGAGAAAAAGCCAAGATTATCATTTTTCGTAAAAAAAAAAAGGCAAAATTAGATTTTGTTTTTTAGAACAAGAACGATGTAAACCACGCCCGAAAAGAGGAGAAAGAATGCTCGATCAAGAACCATTGGTCGAAAACGGTCACGTGATCTGCGGAAAAGAGGAGAAAGAATGCTCGATCAAGAACCATTGGTCGAAAACAGTCACGTGGCATGCGGGAGAGAGGAGGAGAAATGCTCGATCAGGAACCATTGGTCGAAAACGGTCACCTGACATACGAGAGACCGGGAGAGATGGGTGTGCGCCTCCCCACCAAAGGCACTGTGAGGAAGTAGGGGTGAAAATAATAGCGATAATGGGAAGACAGAAATAATGCGGCTATTGGAATTATCGAGAACCCCTGACGCCGACAAACCCACCCCGTTTTGTTGCGGCGTCAATAAAAAGCAGGACCCCAGTCGACAGAAATGAGTTGCAGCTGGACCGCGGGCAGGGATAGAGCCTGAACGCGGGCATCAGGCCCGGGATTCACTCGCCCCTTTGCGGGCAGAGAAATCCTCAGACAAGAAATCCTTCCACCCAAGTCGAAGAAAGAGAACTTCCAGCCCAAGCAGACGAAGAAGGAGATTGCTCGAAGGACGCCAAGAGTTGTGGCAGAGTTACGGCAGAGTTACGGCAGAGTTCAGCCCCGGACGGCAGCGACAGAGAGTTGCGGCTGAGTTGCGGCAAGAAATCCTTCCACCCAAGTCGAAGACAAGAAATCCTTCCACCCAAGTCGAAGACAAGAAATCCTTCCAGCCCAAGTCGAAAACAAGAAATCCTTCCAGCCCAAGTCGAAGACAAGAGAAGTTCCATCTAAGTCGACGAAGAAGAAGATTACTCGAAAGCCGCAGAGAAGTTGCAGCCGAGTCAAAGACAGGCCGAAGAGCTGCAGGCCAGACAAGAAGTAAAGTTGCAGACCAAACAAGCAAATCAGTTCCACCTCAGTCGACAGAAAAGAGTTGCTGGACGGAAGAAGAAGAAGTTGAAATCAAGCCAAGCCCGAGATCAGAATTCGACCAAACCAGATCGAAGTGAAGAAATACAACTCAAGTCGAAGAGAAGAATCAACTGCGAATGATTGACAGAAATTAGCCCCAGTGTCGAACTAGACCACACTCCGACATACATAATTCTAAAGAGTAGGCAATTCGAAATCTTTAAATTGTATGATAGAAGCTTGGTGCCATAGTCCACAGAGCGGGTCGGGAAATAAGAACAATTTTTCTTTATGTAACGGACATTAGATATAAAAGGTTGTCACCCTTTTTTTTATCAGTAATTTTTTGTCTCGTGAGTTTTTTTTCTTTTACTTGTGTTTTGCCACCCCCGTCGGACTCAACTTGTATCGGCCCCAATCCCTGCTGGTCCCGTCTGCCTAAGATCTAAACACAGCGTGGGTAGACAGACCGGAGATCAGTACAGTTGCTTCAGTAACCAGGTATTGGAAGCGAGTTGGGAAAGGCGAGGCTGGTGATCATCTAACCAAGGGGTTGGAGCGGCACGCTTGGAACCAGGAGGAGCGACCAGGAGGAGCGACGTCACAGTTGGCGCCGTAACCAAAGGATTCGACCCTGGGCCAGGTGTAGACCCGTCACAGGTATATTATGGATCATTTAATGCCAGACTTTCACTTTCTTAGGAGTTTGAAGTAATAAAAATGTGATATATGTTATTCTGCTTTCACAGTTGAGTACATGGTAGATGATACTCAGCTTTTGTGTATATGCAGGTTTGTGTGGAGATTAGAGCTAATGATATATGTGTTTTATATTGTTTTGTTGAAGTTATATTTTGAAATACAAT